ATACGATTTATGGTATAATTTATAAGTAGATAGGTACTAAATATCATAATATGTATTTGGACAATCAATTACCATCATTAGCAGTAGTCTCCCACGTTATTTGACTCACACTAATTATAATTATAATTTATGTTATGCAACCATTACTTATAAGTTATAACTATAAAAAACATGGTTGATAAATAGTATTTTATAATATGTGTAAAAATGGACCAATTTTTAATAATTGTAGTATTAAATATTAGTATTGTTATGTTAATTGTTTTTGCTTCTTACAACTGGTGAAACATAAATTTAATGTTTTTATTAAATTATTAAATTAATAAAAATATATCATGTCTCAATTTTGAAGCACAGACGGCCCATTAACCTATAACATTAAGTAACAAACGACTGAAATACTGAATAATAAGTAAATACTTATAACTTTATAATTAAACAATGTTAAAAAAAAAAATAAACAAATAAAATATTATTATACATTAAAAAAATATACTTTAAATACAAGAATATAATATAAATAAATGTTATTATAAATAATTTAAGGTAATATTATTGTATTGCTCATCATAAAAGGAACGGAATATTGATTGCAAATGAAATACATATACACAATCTATTTTAATAGTAGTATCTATATAATTTTTTAGCAATAATTATCTAAGCTGTACAGATTTGGTGTTTATTATTATGCTATAAGTGTATTTGCTGGAATATGCTCTTGGTTAATGTGGTGCCTGCAAGTTCCTTATTGCCTTGAATTGCATACTGTACTTTTTCACGTATTTCTGACCTGCTTAAATCACCTCTTAAGCCTAATAGTCGTGTCATTTGGTCTTCGGTTATATCTGGGTACATCTTTACAAGTGTGTGTAAGTCCAATGATAGTATTTCGGAATCTTCACTTTTTAATACTTCAGATAACTTAACTACAGCATCAAAAGGAGAATCTTTATCCCGTGTTACTAAAGGTGCCACGCGCATAAAAAATGATTTCAATTGGTCCACTTCATTTGTCATTTTATCGGCTGCTGATCGACGTTCTTCGTATGTCTTGAAATTTAATTTCTTCTGAAGAATAGCCATTATGTATCGTCTCACTATAATATCCTCAGCTTCTAATATTATATACTCTAAATTTTTCGGCTTTAAATGAGTATAATCTTGAAAATAATCTTCTAATGTCACACAGATAGTTTCAATAGATATAAAGCTGGTAAGCCATTTAGTAGTTATCAAATCTTGAAAATGAGTGTCAAGATCAATTAGAGCTTCTTCTAAAAGAAATTGTGCTGCTTCGTCTCTGAGATTTTGGAAGGTTTTTATTAATTTTTCATAGGCTGTACTTGACTGATCCTTAAAATCACTACTCCAATAGTGTTGCTTCATTTCCAATGCTAATTCAATAAATTGCAAACAATTGTTGAGTACAGTAATTATGCAGTGTGTAAAAAATGGTACTTTGCTTCTGTCCTCAAAGTGCTTTTTCTTGAACTCTATAACAGCCTCTTTGTAAGATAAACCATATAGACTGACACTATCTACACTTAATAATAATGCTTTGTGGGTTAAGTGCTGGCTTATAGTTTTTGTAACTTGTAAATTTTGATCAATCATCTGAAATATAATAACTGGAGCAGCTGTATGAAAACATCCATCTGGACCAACCTCAGGTGAAGCACCAGCATACCAATCATTTTTTTCAGTATCTAATGTTTTTAACATCCATTCTTTGTAATTGGCTTTTATGTATTCTAAATATTTTGATTGCAAATCAAAAATAATTGAAGATTTTAATAACGGACCAACTTTTCCAATGTCTATATTCAATTCAGGATGCAACATTAACTCTGTACCAGAGTATGTGTTAGTCACCCATGAAATAATTGTTACATATTCATTGCCTTCTAATCCATCTGATATTATGTCATTTAAATTTGCTGAAAGACTGAAATGATACATATAAACAAATTTATCAAAAATATCATATTGTGGTGGAAAACATGGCACACAGAGAGTTTTAACCACTCGCAAGTCTTCAAGAATTAATTGCCGACAAAGTTCCAAATATGTTACAAGCCACATTTTATTGTCAGATCGTTCATTCACTTGAGTACCTTCTATTCGTTGGTCAACTGACTTTTGAAGCACATCAAACGCCATTTCTTTCCACTTTTTTGGGCGACTAGGAGGCATAAATCCAGATTGTTTATGACGCTGCAATGCAAATACATCAGCACGCTCTTCTCGTTCAATTATTCGTAGCACAGTAACAATAACCATAGGTTCTTTCCTAACAGTATTCAGAGTCCTGCTCAATACTAATTTAATTTGTTTTTTCAACATATTGGACATAACTTCAACATCTTCAAAATATGCTTTGAGTAGTATTTTGTCGCTGGGTGCCTGATTGGGCAATTTATGCACTTCAAATAATAAATCATCTCTGGAGTTCTCAAGGTCTATTAAACATTGATGAGCATGTAAAAACTTTCCGTCGTTGATCCACTGTTTAGTTTTTTCAATGCTCTCGGGTACAGTGAATAAGTGCTTCATATTTTCATTGGCTGTCAAGTACTGAGAATGTTGCATTTGCTTGGTGCGCACATCTTGCAACTTGTACCCAAGAGATGGTAAATTGATAAATGAATGTTTTGTTTGACTGAGGTATATCTTTACCTTACTTATATCATCCAATGCGTCTTTCAGTTGTTCCATTCCAATTGTAACCCCGTCTAATTGACTTTGCATAGCTGTTTTCAACATTGCCTCAGTAGAAGTTTTTTTACGTGATATGCGATTCTTCAACTGTTCAACTTTCTCCAATTGTCCTGGTTTCTTAAGCATATTTGTAAAATATTTTGTTGCTGCCAACTTAGCATCATTGCCCAACTGATCTATGTCCATATTCACAATTCAATTCTCCAAGTCTCTAAAATAAATAAAACATAAATTAAATCAATATATTTTTTTTAATTTAAATTTATTAAAATGTTATTTTTTTTAACTTGGACACATACAAAATATAGACATACATAAGTTACAATAAAATATTGAATATTATAATATTAGGGTAACGTAATTCTAAAATAAACTAATAGGAATAATCAAATTATGAACGGTATAATTTTAAAATGAAAATATAGTCATTGTGAACATCAATAATAAAAAAGTTATAGATGTACAAACGTAGGCATTTATGTCAATAACGTATAATATATTAGTGTTACAATATAGGAAGTGTCTGCTGGCGTGAAGGTGCTTGTACTCTAACAAATTGTGTCTGAATATTGGTTGCTTGGATCTCTACTATACAGGCCTACTTCCTCTCATATTGACAAGATAGTTTGGACCCTGTTTACTATTGCTTGTGTGCGTATAAGGTCCAGGAAATACTATCGAGCCACGCTTGATATTATATCACTCGATATTATCTCCATAAAACATGCAGTTTCTTCTGTTATTACTTATTATATTTAAATAGCGTAGCTATTGTAATATTTTCAATATGTCTAATATTGATTGATTTTTGTAGTTTTTTATGCGGCGTTTCTATTTTCGATTATGATTTAGTTATTTCTAATTATATGTATTCCGCAACGCGATCTCCCTTGTCCCATACTCAAAATTTCTCAAAATTACTATTAACTATTTTGTTGCTGTCCTACCATTTCCCGGGGTTATTAACATTAAATACGCATAGTTCGACATATATGACGTTCCTAGGCCCATCTCAAGTATATGTGTTTATTGGTGGGATGTCAGTACATAGCAGAACAAATATAATAAAAACACTTTAATAGTCTTACAAATAAATTTAAAAGATACCTAGTAAAATGAGTTATCTATTAGCATCACAACAAATTGATATCTGTGCACTGCAGACAGAACAGCAGAATAAATTATTTAACTAATGAAAAAAGTATGCAATGTGATCGACAGTAATCAAATTTATTAATATGTAAGTACAATTTGGCTCTAATAAAACTGTTGATAGATCTGTCAAATTATTGAATTTAACTTGAATTAAAATATGTAAATTGATACCTTAGTAGTTCTACTATGTTAATGTAATTTACAAAAAAAAAACACAAATAAATCTCTCTAGAACATCAGTATCATATTGGAAAACAAATTAATATACAGCTAAAAGGAAATATTGTTCATACCTCTCGATAATCGTAAATAATGTATAAACTTGCTATACAAGCTTGATTGAAAGTATTCAAAATAAATTTCAACACGACTTCACATATTCACTTTTAATAAAATTAAATATTGGTAATCGTTATCAATTACAATTTTCACTGCATAAAATCAAAGATTACCTAATTATAAAAGTTACAAAAGATTTTTAGGTAATTTATCTCGGTATCTCACTTCAAAAAATATACAATGAATTTAGTGATACCGTTTATCATTGATACAGTTGTGGACCGTGGAGGTATAACGCTAAAACGACACATTAACAGTTGTACGAACAAATTGTCGACCAATTTTATTATTGTTTTAGAATATTATAAAATTCTACTTGAAATGAAATCGATAGTTTTGTACTGCAATGCTACAAATTACTACTCGTATTTGAACTCATCTAAAAAATTGTGTACGATTTGTAGGAATATAATTAATATAAATACACTCACCTTCGTGTGAGAAATCTTACGGATACATAAAATATTATGTATCAATCTGTAGTTATCATTGTGTGTAGCCCGGACGTGTAGGACGTTCAGACCTTTGTGTAATCTTATCTCAAAAAAATAATTTATGAAGATAACGTGTGATAATACTTAAAGATAATGTTTTTTGCGAACGGTGCCGTAGAAATAGTGGAATTAACGAAATTAAATAGTATAAAAGTTAGTTTAGAAATGCTCATCGGTGTCAATGACAATTAAAACGATATCTATAGGAAAATAGTCAAACTCACACAATCACAAATCAAACAGTCTTCACAAAGGTAAACAAACGGTAAACTGTCCCAAACATCAAACTCTAACCAACTATCTTTATAGCATGTGTGTATGGCGTATTAATGATTAATTACGTTGGTAATTATTTGCCAATTGGAAAATTAATATTCAATTTAACTATAGCAATATACTAATATTGATATTAGTTACTATTTGTACCAAAATTAAAATTAGCACATTTAATTTCTTTAATGCCTTATGTTTTGCAATTATAAACTTTTGATGTTAATTTTCACGATGCTGTTATTTCAATACAGTTACCTGGGATCAACAAAATTCAAATTGTATGGTATTTTGTTTTTACACTATGTTGTTGTATTCATCGTTATCTTTAAATTTAACTTTAACTTATCTTTAGAAAATTAATTCACCGATCATTAAAGTATAAGATCAAGAATATTATTTAATTTAACCTTGTTTCAAATATTTCAGGATAATTAAAGATCCTATGTAAATGTATAACATAATTTCACCACACCTCTCTCAGATTTTTGGTTTTAGATATTTCAAATTTAACTTATCTATATAAGTAAAGCTCACTCACAACAATGGCACAATTATTACTATATCTGTATCTTTTTTTATGTTGTAGATTATTAAATATTAATTTAAAGCAAAATGTCTTGCAATTATGCTGATGGTTTATCTCCGTATGAATATAAAGGGGAAGTTGGTATGAATGAAGTAAGTATAACAATTATAACAATTAAAATATCCATTACTATAAATTTTATATTTATTTTAGGTTTTCGATACTCCTGAAGTTTTAAAACAAAAGATTTCACTTCTTGCTGAGTGGATCAAAGATTCTAAATATACAGTTTTTCATACAGGTGCTGGTATAAGTACATCAGCTGGTATTCCAGATTTTAGGTAAATGTGTTTAATGAGTAATGGTATTGTAATAATAAAAATGTGTTCAAGTATACTAAAGCAATATTTTTAGTTCTTATAAAAATAATATATTAATGTTTTTTGAATATTAAAATTTTTTAAAGCAAACAATTATTTATTATTAATTCAAAAATAATACAAGACAGTCAACAAGCCTAATATTTAAGGGGCATATTTTACTAAAATAACCTTAGTAATATAATTTTCATCTATATTAGTTATTTGTAACTTTGTATACATTTAGTATGTCTTATTTTGAAAGTTTTTTAATTTATCATTTGTATCGTAATTTTATTTACTCTAAATCATTAATTGTTGGTAAACGAGAAGTACCTTAATTCTTAATCACTGTATAACAACTCAAGAAAAATTTAATTTAAGAATTTAAATACCTAATTTATGTATTTAGTAAATACCTATATTTAGAAATAAAAAAAAATTGAAAATTAACCTGACATTTTCTATTGCTAAATGTTATCAAGTTAAATTAATATTATGTATTTATTATAGAGGACCAAAAGGAGTGTGGACTTTAGAAAAAGAAGGAAAAAAACCAGAAGTCAGCTTAGATTTCAATGATGCTAAACCAACAGTTACACATATGGCAATCAAAAGCTTGGTCAAAAAAGGTCTGATTCTTAAATTATTGTATTATCTTATTTAAATAATTATGGAGTGTTCATCGTTTAATATGTATAATTTATATATTATATAAGCAAATAGAAACTTTGTTTTGGATATTAATGCGCTCATTGATCATTTAATTTATTTTGTAGCCAATAGTGGTTATGAGGATGAGGTAAGTGAGGCATCTGCCTCACTGTCATTTCCAGAAATTAGAAAATTATTCCTTTGCTTTTTGTTGGTATTTGGTAATATTGTGAATTTCATTTTTTAAATTTAATTTAGAATATTTAATATATACATATGCATTTGACTTTAGATGCTTTAGATAAAGATAAAATTCATTAATTTTTTTTGTACAAAACTTTCGTGAAACAAGAGAATGTCTGCACATTGCTGTAACATAATAACTTATAAACTATTATATCTGTTACCATTTACTAAAGCGCCCAGCATTTTGAGTTCCACCTGCACACATTTTCATGTTTTAATGTCCAATATGTTGATGTCTCTTCGATAATTATTAACTGTAGAATAGCTTGTAATTATTATTTTAATTTCTAAACTTCTACTACAATCAGTACAACTGACTGTGTATAATCTGAGTTCCAAATTAATTTTATTGTTATATATGTATATTATCACTTAATGCTAGTACAGTCATTATATTTAATTTTTCTTTTATGTTACAATAAATTTAAATTTTGTTTTTTTATAGTTATTAGTAATTCAACTATTTCTTGAAAAAAAAAATTAAAAAATTGCATTTTTAAGCATACTTTGATGTTTGTTGATTAATATTTGCACATTTTTCTTTTTTTAAGAAAATATTGTTATAGTTCAACTTTTTTTAAACCTAAAAATCCTGAGTTCAATAAAAAATAGTAAAAAAAAATACAAATTATCAGTCAAATATAATAAATTATAATAATCACTTTATATTAGTACCACAATGTATTCATTATAGTTATTAATTGGTATAAATTTGACTATAACTGATATATCTGACAAAAATTTTATATCAGATAAATTCAGAATTAATTTTTTAAATTATAATGAACTATTACTAATTCAAAAAGATTGTCAACTAAAATACAACAATAACTTAATATTTCCTCCAAGTTGGGTTATAAATGACAGAGTATTTTTTATGTTCTAGAGAGAGGAAGTCAAACAAATGTATTATGTATAACACTTAATGCACAGTTTAAATATTTGTCCAACACTAACCAGCTTATACTTTTTATTAGGTTACGCAAAATATGTTGTCAGTCAGAATATAGATGGTTTGCATTTGAAGTCAGGATTACTTCGTCAACATGTTTCTGAAGTTCATGGAAATATGTTTACTATGAAATGTAACAAATGCAAAAGGTTAATTAAAATATTTTAAATATCTTGTAGATACCTAATTTTAATTGAAAGTTCTTATAGTTAATATAATTTTTTAAATATATGTATTTAACAATAAATAAATTATCATTATATTTTGAGATCACTTTTATTTTCAAACATTAATTATGAATAAAGAGATATTTAAAAACTAGATGGCAACTAGTATCACCTAGTAAGACACTTTTAAAAATATTTTTTGTCACAAATACATTTTTTTTTTTTATTAATAAATTATGAAATATGAAAGTTATTCTTTGGTATTTTATGAGATAAAGTAACTTATATTTTTTATTTTACTATTGAATCATTTTTAAAACTTTTTATTATTAAACATATGGGATGTTTCATTTCTTCTGTCATTAAACATACACTTTAAGGCCAACATAACAGGGAAACTTAGCAATGATTCTCACTTGCAAAAATGCTTATGAGCAATAGAGAAACTAACATTTAAGCAAGAGAGAAATGACATATAACAGTGTTTCAATTAACAATGGTATCAGTTGTGTTGACTTACATATTTTTATACAATGCTGCACTCATAAGCTTAATATCAAAAGATGCAAGTATAGTTTATTGTTTACAAGTTTAAACTCAGTTTTTTTTTATTTTAGTTTTGGCCACAATAAGTAGTGTTGAAATTATAAAATCAAAGGTATTTTCATGGTTGACTATATTCAGTTTTTAAGCCCTGATTTAAAATAATCTAGTATTTTAAATTTTAAATTGTTTTGTTTCAAATAGTATTAAGTATAGTTTAATTTTTCTAATATATTAAGGTTGAAGATAAATATTTTGAAACTGTATGTTATTTAAATAGCTATATTAGTGATGATTGAGTTGTTTAATTTTGTTTAAATTCTAGGAGCTATGTGAGCAAGACTGCTGTAAAAACAGTTGGGCAACGATGCTTGGACATAAAATGTTTTGGGAAAAATAAGAATGGCCATCAATGCCGAGGTGTTTTGTATGATACAATATTAGACTGGGAACATCAGTTACCTATTGAAGAGTTAGAGCTATCGGAGTTACATTCTAAGTAATTATATACTAATTGTCAATATTAACAATTAAATATTTTCTACAACAAACATTTTTGCATATTGAACATCATTTATTGGTTGACATAATTTTAATATACTTTGTGTGACTGTCAACTGAGATTGTGTAAATAATAATATTACTATCTGCTTATTATGATTGGTGAACCCCGCTTAGGACTGAAATAATCATTAACTAATAAAACCATAAAAAAGTTTAATCACAGTTGACATTTGTCAGGTGCATGTAGCTTATATACCTAAGTATTATCAAAGGGGCAGTCGACCCATAAAAAGGTACCTCATTTAAGTGCAGCTAAAATCTTCTTATTATTGAATATTATTTTTGTATGTTAACGAGTATTATAATTTATAGGTATGCAAAAAAACTTCATATATTTTTTATTTATTTATTCAAATTTTGCTAATTGGTTTCTTTATCCAAGTACAACAAAATGTTTACGGTTTTTCAGAATGGCTGATTTATGCGTTTGTCTTGGAACTTCGTTGCAAATTCAACCAATCAATCTGGTTCCATTTAATGCAAAAAAAAACAAAGGAAAAGTCGTTATTTGCAATTTACAAAAAACTAACTGTGTAAGTATCTTATAGTTACTATTTTAAATTGTATACATAATATTATATTATACTTTTTTTTTGAAAATGTTTGTTCTAATCTTTTTTTTTTCTAAAGGATCGGAAAGCAGATTTAGTTATTCATACATATGTAGACAATCTGATGAAGTCTCTAATGGATATCCTTGGAGTAGATATTGACGAATACGACGAGATTAAAGATCCAACAAACATAAATTATGAAATCACTGATTGGACGATTTATGAAATAGATTTAAAGAAAGTACGAGATATTAAAAAAAACACTACAAAATCAAAAAAAAGAAAAAAGTCTGAAGCTAAATTTTCTAATCCGGAATCGGAAACAGTAACAGAATTGCCCTGTAATAATCAAATTCTTAAACCATCAAAAATTTCTAAACTCAATAATATTGATAATATTATAAAATAATAACAAAATAATTAAGTTCATTAATTATATTTATAATAATTTTTTCTATATAAATCATCCTCTAATATGGTTCGTAACAATTTCTAAAAAAAATTACATTGAAAATACTTATAAATATGATATTAATCTAATTATAATAATGTCAAAAATACAATACTAGGTATACAGTTGTTGGAAATAGCGCACTGTTGGTTTGCGACATTTGAATCAGGAGAATGCCGCTGTGTGAATTGGCCCTATCGAGTGACTATAGTCTTGAACATGGCGGCACTAAACAATTCCATAACTAGGGTAAACATTTATATTAACTCAGTTTGGGGTTTGGTTTCCATGTTTTGTGGTGGTTTGTACTTCAGATCACAAGTGCTGATTGTTGTGTGCTATAATAATGCACTATTTTTTTTTGGTTATAGCTTCAATAAACAATACTAGAATAATTGTCCATTGTAGATTATATACTTTTGTACTTGCTATCACTTTATAGCATGAACTGGAACATTTATGGTTTTTTTAGATTCGGTAACAATTTGGTTGTTAGAAGATCAAAATCGATATGTGTTTTTTTTTGTTTTTAAAAACTTTAAATTCCAGTTAGGTTTTATAAAAAAAAATATTCAGTGTCATCTAAATTCCTCAAAAATGAAGTGTCACTTCACGTCAGTTATGACAGCTTGGCCTTAATTTCAAACAGGTATTCCAACAATTGTTAATGACTTTCTGCGGGGTACTACAAAAGAAAAAAAATTACCTATCATCACTTCAACTCATGTACTTTATTCATATAACCCTTAATCTTTTTATTTTTTTTATTTATTCACTGCTTGCACTTTTCCATATTTTATAACAACAAACATCAATATACTACTTATAATTTATAAATCATTAAGAAACCCTTAGAAAGTGTACAGATTTTTAAAGTTAAAATGATAAAATGATTAAATAGTATTTTATTTCATATATAATATTACATAATTATTGAAACTAAAAATATAAAAGTATCGGTTTCATTAAAATTCCAGTTTTAAAATTATTATAAATAAAGGTTCCAGTGAGGTTCTGATTTTTAAAATATTTAAACAAAGGTTTTGGTTCTGGTGCCCATTATTTTGAAAGGGTTCAGGTTCTTTTTGGTTCTGTTCAAACTACTTTTACAAACATTTAAAGTTTTGAACTATTAAAATATTTCTAGTTTATCTAAAACTTGATACAAAAAAATGTATTATAGATTTATACAGTTTACACTTAGTAATAAAATACAAAAATTATGTCACTGCCGTATACACAACTCAAGTTTCAATAAATTTAAACTGCCTATGCAGTGGTGTGCTCAGCTTTTTTGAAGGGGAGGGGATAATATTTTTTCACTATTTTCATACTGCAGACAGAAGAATTAAGTCAAGATCAATAACAGTAATAACTTGGGTTCATTACATAACTCGATTCAATAAATATATTAATTCATAAATAAATAACAATAGCACACTTCTTATTCTGCCATAAACATTAAACTTAAGTAGCAGTCTGAAAGAATAATTATAAAGTATAAAGTATTCACACATGACTAAAAGCATGGTTTGCACACATTGCGTAATCAACAAGTAACGACTAACGACAGAGGTACATTATAACAAGTAACAACAACGATCGGCAAAAGTGAACTAACTAGTAACTGAGTATAAAAGTGGTAATAATAATAATGATAATAATGTCGGCTGGTAATTAAAATGTATCCATCAGATACTATTCTTACTTGATAACATACTTTTTAATATCACTATTCTTTTAGGTAGTGGGTATGATATTATTAGAGTGCGGATTTGTATGTATTCAAAATTCAAAAATATGTACATATATATGTATTTAATTTTATCCAAATATATAATTAAAAATACAAGATATGTAAAAAAAATGTTATTATTCTTGAAAAAAAATTTATAAAATTAGTATATTAAATAAGTAGGTAAATATAAATTATACAACACTATATTTTATTGCTATTTTATTAACATTAATTATTAGGAATACATTCAAATTAATAAGTATTTATTCATTGGAGTTAGGATGCTGAAACAACATCTATTTCAATTTTGGAAATCATATTTTCAATGAAACTTAAATTGTCGCAACAATATGCAGCAGCATGTAACCAAGTACAACAGCGAGTTATCACTGGCTCCGAGGGAAGAGGTGTTTGGGGGTAATTTTCTTTAAATAAATTTACACGACAGGGTGCTTTAAGGAAAATTTTTTTTTAGTTGATATCAAAAAATCAACTTCGGAAAATTCTGATCTAATTAAACCTGGAGAAGATAACACATAATATAAAACGGTGATACATTATTAATTTTGTAAATAGCTCAATATTTAACAAAAAATATGTAACACGAGTAAAATATGTAAAAATATGTAATTAAGATTAAATATGTGAAAATATGTAATATCAAACATAGCTTAAAATAATCAGAAAATCCTGTAACGTATTTCTATAAAGGAATCATTTGAATATTATCATGCGCGACAAATATGTAAATACATACAAATCCGCACCCTAGTTATTATCGTTAAAACAATACGTAACTGAATATAACTAGTATTTCTCACACGTCAAAATGCAATAAATTTCAATATAGTAAGCCCAAGGGGAGGATATTCAGGGCACTCCCGAAAGGGGATTCTAAGGGGTGTCCCACCCCCAAGTAAATAATATGTATATGTTAATTGGCACATTGATACATTAAGTATTTGAGTTGGCACTCAGCAAATTATAATTTTTTTTTACAGTTTTTAAATAATTTTGTAAATACGCATAAATAAGTATAAATATGTCATAATAATGTATTGTAATCCATAAAAATATGAAGGGATATAAATTAATTTTCCGATTGCCAACTGTCCAACACAAATACTTTAATAATATTTAAGTACCGAATAATGTACACATTATATAATATTATAACAGAATTTAGACATCGACTAAGTGATAATATTCTAAAATTGCTTCACTTAAATTATATAGTCAGTATTTACTATTTAATTAATATTGTTATTAAATATTTGGTTATTTTATGATTTGTATCATTATTCATACCAATCATGAATCTTTCCATAATAGTCAGGGCCGTATTTAGTGGGAAGCAATGGGGAAATTTGCCCCATGCAGCCAAATATTGACCTATTTAGGGGGCGGCTATACCCCCGCCGTAACTCGGTGTAGTATTTTATCAATAATTATTTTTTTTTGAAAAGAATTTGTACTATGACTCGACTCTTGTGAACTTAACAGTGCAACAATAACGGATAAGTGCTAGCGCCTAGCATAGAATAGAATTAATATTATTTTAACATAACCACGGTTGTAGATAAACAAGCATGACTTAACCATAAAGAATTATAACTAAAAATGTGTTAAGAAAAATCAAAAAAGTGGATCTATTTTTTGGTTGGGAGGGGGGGGGGTAAAATTATAGTTGACCCTGGGCGCAAAAATTGTAAATACGGCCCTGATAATAGTATAATCAATCAATATGCAACAATGTTATAAATTTTGTTATTGAAAATATTTTATTCTAATATATTAGTCAAGATGTGATGAACAAATATAAATAAGACATAGTAAAATAGAGAACATAATAATTAAGTATTTAATATTTTGCAACATGGTGTAAAATATGTCTACTGATTACTATGCATGTAGGTGCATACGAGCTATGGAAGAAAATTTTTTTGAGTTGGCACATTAATGCATCTCACCCCTCACCCCCCCTTCCCTTGGGTCCACCACTATGTATAAATATTATTGTATTTAAACTTTCTACTCACAAAACATCACATAACAGTTATAATATTATTTTATTTTAAAATGTAAATACATTAAATTAGGATAAATTGCTAAAGAATAAAGGTATACAATTATTTGTTATCTTATTTTTAGCTACTTAACTCTTTGAGTTAACTATTTTAAACCATAAATTTTGATTAAAATGAAAATGAAAAGTAGGTACCTAAAATATTATTCATGTTTTTATATAAATAATAGGGTTTTAATAGTATGTATAACTTATGATATAACAGCCCTTCGAATTAAGAGTTAATATTTAAATTCAAAAAATCTAATACAATTTTAATAAGTATAATTCAATTAGTAAAAAAAAACTCATATAATAATATCATAAGTAATCAATAACAAAAGTGTCAAAGAACTAGGAATCTTTATACTGTACTCAAATTGTATCATTTATACTTGTGTCATTTAGTTTTAATTTTAAATTAAGTTTGATAATAAAAAAAAATTGTACACATTTTATGCCCAATCTAAACAATAATAAAATAAATAAAATGCAAGAATTAGGAACATTTTGATAAAACCGTTTTATCGAGCTCCCATTCTTATAAAATATAATTATTATTTGGATGATGTTATAATGTCTAGCTTGACTTATAATTTGTCATAAATAATGACATAATAATTTTCCATTGAATTCTTCTTTAGGTTTTGCCCCCATATTCATATAAATTGTATTCTAAAATGTACGAACTTCAACTCTTATTTCAGCTCATAACATCTCTTTCAGCACTTTAATTGGTTCTTTAATAGAAAACAGTGTCTCTATATGTACCAAAAGAGATTTAAAGCGAACCGATTTCTAAGTTGTTTGAGTTATACTTTTGATTATAAATTGAGTATTATCACTAGATTCTATATTGAGGAGTACCTACTTTATATTATGCATTTATGTGGAAATAAAAAATAAGCAAGACTTATGTAAAAATTAGTTTTAAGTCATGTACATAAATAATGTTTGATATAAGTTATGTTTATACTATGCATCTTAAAATATTTGGTGATGCTATATAAATTTAATCTTCTTTAGACTAGTAATATTTTTTTTTAACTAACCTTCCTAAAGTATTATAAGTTCCATTTATGTAATAAGTAGCTAGTTAGCAATAATTCATTTTTATTTAATATATGGATTATTTTTATTGTGCAATTAAAATAAATACAATAAGTATTTGATAAAATAATATTTTTTTTAATTTTTATTTTACCGTCATTTTTTTTTATATACCATAGATTATAGAGGTAGCCTCATACTCATGTAAACAAATGCAGACCTTCCTCCCATACCATTACAGAATACAGAGCACAAAAGATACTTGTTTTGTCGTATTAATCGTCTCATTTTATAAATACATTATACCTATACATATTATTAGACTAATTATTGTTTGAACTTTAAAGATAACTTTTTGAAATTGTATTTTACACTTCTTATATACATTTACATTTTTACCTATATTAATAGACTAATATAGATATAAAAATAATTATGTTTTTTTTTATTAAAATCTAATAAGAAATCAATCTTTTTAGTTTTTATTCAATGTAGGTAAATTTCAATTTACACTTAAATTATTAACCTTACTGCTAAATTTTAAATTATAATTAAATAATGTTTAATTTTATCTGATTTATAATGACGCCTATAATAATTTAAAATATTAAATTCAGCCTATCTTTAATCAATGGAAACATTTTATTTACAAATCTCTGATTTTTGATGAGTTATTATAAACCACAATCAAGGAGAAGTGATCATATTTTAATAACTATTGCCATTTATTGTACAATTATATATTACATATTACATCATTACTTATTAGTTATACTTATGACTTATGTCATCAGTATTTTTATTTTTTTTAATCTTTGGAGGTCTAAATTTAATTTTAATTTTTTAACAAGTAGCCTTGTATGTTGATTAAGAATTTCATTTGAATGAATAATGTTTGTTTGATATAGCTCTGTACTACAGGTTTATATTTTTCCTTGATCCTTACTGGTTTTTTTTGTAAATATTGAAAAAACATTTTCCTTGGCTTAAAATTCAATAGTTCAATTTTTATTTTCAGATAATTGTTTCATTTGTTTTGCTGTAACATTCTGTTTCGAAAAAAAATAAGGTTATTTAAATGAATACAATTTTTTGTAACTGTTTGATTTGAGACCGAAGAGAATCACTAATGATATTATAATTTGTATTGATTTCTTTTTTTTATTTTTATTTAATAGATTAAAGATATAATATCTTTAATATATAATAAAACAACTGTTGAATTTTGGTATTTATGAAATGGTTTACAATAACAAAATTACTAGTAAAAAGTACCTAATTTTCATTACAAGATGCCTTGCAGGTATAACATATGTATCTATTAAACAAAAATTGCTGCATAATATACACATAGATTAGCTTATAGTTGTACCATTTACTTATAAATAATTATATAGTCCTAGAAGAAGTGAAAAAGATTACCAAAATATTTAATATTCTTATCAAACTAAGCAAATATGATTCACTTATAAAAACGAGTTGTTTTATCTTGACACGTTTAATACTTAGTAAA